TTTTCTTGTTTTTACTTGTAAATAAAAACTGAAAATATCACATTTTTGGGGCGTTTTTTTTTCGTAATCCCGAATTTCGGGCTTTTTTTTTTTTTTTTTTTTTTTGCATCCCTTTCAAATGGCCAACATGAGATTTTTTTTGTGAGCACTGACCCCTGACCTTTCTGAGCTTAGTTCATTTCGAAGCAGATTAGAAAGAGGAACTGCAGTGAATTGCAGAAGTACTATTTCTGCTTGAATTATGCCACATTTTGTCACATTAGAAACATTTTTCATTACATTGTATTGGGATTTTACGTGATTGGCCGCACAACGTAATGTCTTATTGTAAAGTAAAGAAAAATGCTAACTTTGAAAAAAATATTTAAGAAATTTGAAAAGAATGACTTGTTCAGTCCATTTGCTGTAAGTGTTCAGGACCTCTAAGTTAATAGTTTATAAACCACAAACTTGTAACTGCTGCTGCAAGCCTGTTGAGGTATTACTAAAATCTTTTCTTTGCCAATTTGCTCTGTCTCAGATAAGATGGAGAACGTCTTTGCTCACCAATATGCAAGTCTCGTCACAGATTCTGATTTGTTTAGGTCTTGACTTTGACTAGACCATTTTAACACATAAATATGCTTTGATCAGCACCACTGACATATAGTTCTGACTGTATGTTCAGGGTCGTTGCTCTGTTGAAGCCCCAGTATCAATTTTTTGTCAGCCTCTAGCAGGTTTTCCACCAGGAATTAGCTTCATCTGTCTTCATATCAAATCTGACAAGCTTAGCCCTGTTGAAGAAAAAGCATCCCCACATCATGATGCAGCCACCAACTTTTTTCACTGATATGTTCAGTGTGTTGTGCAGCGCAGTTTGTCACCCACAAAAAGTGTTTTGCATATGACACAAAAAGCTATGTTTTGGTCTCATGTCCCCAGAGGACTTTCTTCTCCACGTCTGCTGTGTTTCCCTCATGTTTTGCGAAGTTGTACCTCCTGTGGCTTTTTTCTACATGCAGGCCAGATTTGTGGACTGCAGACCCAGCAGTTGTCCTGTCAGATTCTTCCACCTGAATTATGGGTCTATTCAGTTCTCCCAAAGTTACCATAAATCTGTTTGCTGGTCTAATTAATGTTCTCCTTGTCTGACCTGACTCTCATGAGTTGGTTAGTTTTCTAGTTGTCCCACAGTCCATGTTTATATTTGGACTTAATGCTCAGTGAGATATTCAAAGCTTTCTAACCTAATTCTGCTTCAAACTTCAACACATAAAGCTGGACCGGTTTGCTGTATTTCTTAGTTTTCATGATTAGTGATAACTAATGTTTTCAAACAAACCTCTCAGGTTTTCACAGAACATTTGTTTTTATATTATAATATTTTTAAAAATTATTACAAATTACCAGAACAGAACACAACAACATGCGGCAGTAATGAGACAAAATGTGAGCAAGTTTAAGGATGAAAATACTTTTACAAATTACTGTAAATTTACCTTTTCTTTATGATATACAAGATCCGTTCAAAACTTTGTCTTGGTTGTGCAAAACTTTCCAAAACAAATCAATAGCACACATTGTTTGCTTTCTTTTATTATCTTTGGGTAACCAGACTTTTACTATGCAAATGTAATTTGAGACAAAACAGACAACACAAGAATTGTGTTGTCTGTTTTGTAATGTTCAAAATAAAAATAAATTCTAAATAATTCTACATTAAGCCACAAAGACAGATGTCTGATGCTTATTAGAGGATTTTAAATTAGAAATTCTTTTGTCAAACTTCAGAAGACATTAAATTTTTTTAAAACTATATGAAAGACGCACACTCATTATGTGATTTTGGTGTCCAAGTTATAATATCAGTCAGGAAAGTACTTAAAATAAACGTCAAAACTGCACAGAAGTACTGTACTAAACTGACATTACAGTTGTAGACCTAAATTCAGTGTTCAAGGGGGGTTTTATTTTGACGCTGAGGAGGATTTCCTCTGTGTAACGGCGCTGAACAGGGGGAAGAGCACTGGGATTTCACAATAACGAGTCTTACGGACAACGCGCTGCTGCGGCCACATGAACTCTGCTTTGATAATCCTGCCTGTACTGGAATACAGTCAGTTTCTTTTCAGACTTCATGAAGTTAAACGGTACTTGGTGTTCTGCAGCCGCAGTGCAGCTGTCAGTGATGGTCTGAGGACTTGTCGACGGGGGGACCAACTCCAAAGATGGGTGTTCTGCTACTTTTGTCGTGCTTTTTGTACGTCCTGCCAGTGTGGAGCATTTTTGATGGCATTTGTCCTAGAAAAGGTGAGTCATCAGTTAATAATATAAATGTGTTTTTGAATTTTTAATGTTTAGTCATGACTTTGTTTCATTGTTGAGATTTCAAAAAAATCTCCTTTGCAACAGTTGGGTTTAATTTCACATTTAGTTTCAAGTTTTTTTCTTGTAGAAAAAAAAAGTAACAAATCAATATTTTACCTATATTTTCTCTACATTCTGAACAGTTTAACTGGTGTTTTGTCTTCTCTTATTGTCTTTTTTTCATCATTTCAGCAGGATAGCGGTTAATCGCGCTGTTCTGTTCAGATTACTGAATTCACTCTAATAAACTTTTATTAAACTTTTACAATTCTTCGATATTTTTTTTACATTTTTTGAACTTAGATTCTTTCATATCGTTGGACAAAAAGTAACAAATTAGTTTGAGAAAAAAGCAACTTATCAAATGTAATAAAGTAACTTATTTTGATTAATGGTGACCAACTATGGTGATATATTTAAATTGGATCACTTGTTCTTTAATCCAGTGATAGAGAGAGATATTTGTTCAGATAAATCAAAGCGTCAATAAGATTTGAGGAACTTTTCATGCACATAAAGTGTGATTATCAGAGAAGAAAAAGTTCAGGACAGAAGAGCGACTGTGTAGGCGAGAGAGAGAGACAGATTAAAAGAGGAAGTTTTGAAGGAGTTGGTAATTTTTGTTATGCAACGCTGCATCCTATCTGTTCTGTGCCTACTGATCTGGGACCAGTGATCATGCCCTAAGAACATTTAAAGACAGTCGAGGCCCTGATTAAACCCACAAAGACAGCCAGCCTCGCTTGTATCTTTGCAACAAATGTTTGTTTTTGTTTTTTTTGTGTGTGTGTGTGTGTGTGTGTGTGTGTGTGTGTGTGTGTGTGTGTGTGTGTACAGACCCTCCTCCTGGTGCGGTGGTTGTGTCTCCAGGAAGCAGGCTGGAACTAACCTGCAGCGGCCATGTGAAGGTGAATGGAGTGAAAGTCACCTTAACTAGAAATGTCTCAAGTGAAAACAAGAAAGGATCTTCGTCGGCGAGAACTCCCACCACGGAGCAAGCTGGAAGGAACAGGGCTTTCACACAAAGAAGTGATAAATCTTCTACAGTAAGCGGGAGACTAGCCATTCCCACCACGGCGACCGGAATCAGCACTCTGCTAGGAGAAAACCGAAGCGGCGGATATTCAGACGTGGAACACGCCACTTCTCCACAAGTGGTCCAGCCAACCCCTCCCAGCAAAACCACAGCGGGGGGGACGTCAGACTGGGAGGATGAAGAGATGAAACTCGAGGCTGAATATAAAGACAAGGAGTCAGAGGGAGGCGGCAGAGCAACCAGAGAGGTTAAAATGAGGCCTCAGTGGAAGTGGAACAAACAGCTGATGGAGAGAGCAGACAGAGACTGGGGAGGACTTGCATTTCTGAGTGACGGGAGCGGTCTGTCTCTGAGCTCAGTGCGACTGACGGACGCTGGGAAATACACGTGTCACCACGGGGGAGAAGAAACTCTTGCTGTTAAGGTGATTGTTGCAGGTGAGTTACGGCGCAATGCCTACATAGACACTCAACTGCAGTGTGTGCAGGATTTGATCGGTTTCATTAAAAGGACTGATCAGTCCAATTTATGTATTGAAAAATCAACACGTGGGCGGAGGTATCCTTCCACATCACTGAGGTTTCTTACCAAATATTTCATGCAAGGAATTCTTGTATAAATCAGTCAAATCAGTTTCATGTTTTTCAGGAGTATGTTCCTCACTAATCATTTTAAGGTCAGCTCTCTAATCCTCAATTAGGTAAATCAACCAAAGCCAACATGATGCAAGCATGAAAAGCAAACTTTGTACCTAGAAAGAAATGCAAATTTAGAGCAATAACCAAGCTAATTAAATGTTTCACATCATGAAGGTTTCTTGACTTTAAGTTTATAGACAGGGTTTACAATCTGATTTTTGAATTAAGCTGTTATTTAGGGATGGAAAGGGACAGATGAAGTCAAAGTGAGCCACAGCAAAACTGACAAGAGTCCATCTTAGTCTTTCCTCAAAGTGTGGAATAAAGACTATACTGACCTTCAAACAAAAACAAGAGAAAAATAAAAAATTACACAAATTACACAATTTGAACCAGCTTGATCAAACTCCCAATTAGATGAGCAGAAAGTCATCAAGGAGACTTTATTGTGTCTCTTTTCAACTGGATTCTTTAAACTCGATCTGTGTGACATGACATGTTTACACGACAACACAAACTCAGTCTTTGATTCACTACTTTACATAATCTCAATACCATCAGTGACTGTATTGTGACACACTGTGCCAGCGCACGAATACTGATGCATTATGAACTGCGGCAGAGAAAGGTTTTGGTCATGGGTTCTGGTCTGCTGGCTGTGGGACGGTGATGGGTCTTGAGGGGTCGTCATGGTGACGTGGGTCTGCTGGGTGTCGTCTTGCCAAAATACTTCTCTGAAAAAAGTCTCCTGCTGCCCCGAACACATGACTGATTGAATGTTTTTCTATATCCTAGATCCTCCTGAGACTCCGGCTATCTTTTGCTACAAGAAGTCGCCCAGGAGTAAAATTCGCTGTGAATCGAGGCCTCAGAAACCAGTAATCAAGCAACCTAACTGCTACCTTTTTCTGAGCAAGACGTAAGGCACTTAGGTTTTAAATTCACCTAAGCCTGATTTATTTTTATTTTTGTTGTTGTTGTTGTTGTTGTTGTTGTTGTTGTTGTTGCAACACAACAATCCAACCCTAACCCCGTAACCCTAATTTAGATTGACTGAAACCTTTGTGCTACATAGTGATACATCTGAAGTTCCTACAACAAACCTGATGTTTTTAGAATAAAAAAAAAAAAATAAAATAGTTCTGAATAAAAACAAAATTTGACCCATAGTACATTTATTGGTTTAATAATAATACAGGACTGAAGTAAGCTACCTCATGCATAATTAACTGAATCTTTGAACTTTTTTCCTGCAGAGCTTCTGTTTGTAAGTTTATCTTTTACTTTGTTACATCTTACTGGAAAACTTGATTTTCTTTTTTTCCTTTCCAGTTACAATCATGGAAAAATAGAGCATTTCCAACGAAAGCGGTGCTCATACTCACCTCAGCACTCCCGCTGTTGGTGTGCTCTGGAGCACAATGAGGATGAGCGGAGGAAGAACCATCAGGCTTTCCTGTGTGTCACAAACATCTTGGGCAGCGCCACCAGTCCCCTGATCAATTTCACACCTCTGGATATTTGTAAGCGAGTCTGTTATTACACGACTGTTTCGATGAAAGTAGGCTTTTAAAAAAATAATAATAATAATTTTAACCCTTTCCTGCGACTGAAGTGACTCCAGACCCCCCATCTAATGTGATGGCTCACCTGGTGGAGGGACGAGAGAGGATGATAAAGGTGACCTGGAACTTACCAATAACCTGGCATGAGAATGATAACTTTTATGACATAATCTTTGAGATCAGATACAGACCTTCAACTTCTTCAAATGAACAGGTATGTTTGACGAGTTAATGTTTCAGTCATGGGATCCAAACCGATGAACCTGCGATGTTTCCGTTCATTGATTTCTTGTTCTATGGTCTGTACGTGTTCATGCAGGAAAATACAGTTAAAGAACACTGGTACCTGATTACTGACGCTCTGCCTGGTGTCGAGTACCTGATTCAACTCAGAACTAAAGACGAGTACGACGGTAATTGGAGCGAGTGGAGTTCACCGGTCTCTGCCAGAACTTGGACAGGTAGATTAAAAACACACACACGCGAGAAGAGTAACAAGTTAGATTATCTCATGAGGTTTGTACATTTCGAAAGCCGTAATATCCGTGTGAATTCCCAGATTCAGAGCCTTGCTGTTCCTCAAAAGAAGATTTTGCTTTTGCAGTGGTAGTTAAAACACAACCAAGACAATAAACAATAAAGGACAATAACCAGAAAGAAGCAATACATGTTAAAAGAAGTAACTGATGGCAACAGCACCTTAGTGGTAGAGCTCCACGACTAATCATAACACCTTTAGCTCAAACGTCATTTTGATTTTTCCAAGACATTAGATCTGTGAAAGTCAACTCCCTTTTACCTCTTCCTGTTGGCCTTCCTGTTTGAGTAAGTGTACCAATTGTGCTCATTTTGTCCTGAGCTTGTTAATCATACAATATGGACACAAGTGATTTGAAGAGCACATTGTTTCCAGGTTATTAAAAGAAAGTGAAATCTCTTCCAACTTCCTGTTTGTGCTGAGGTTCGATATTGTCCAGCTTATCTCATGCCCTGTGACTTCACCATGAATCAAAAATAAGCAAACATGTATGAGAAGGTGCCTTGGTCAAATGAAACCAAAAAGAAAAAAATAGCAAAAAATGTGACTCCTGTATCATTTTTTCTTGTAATTCAAATTTATATGCTAGTCTATGTCGGTCTATTGCATACACCTCCAATAAAATACACAGAGGTTTGTGGTTGTGAAATGAGAATGCGTGGAACAATTCAAGTAACTTTTGCAAACACTGTAATTTCTTTACTTTTTAAAGAAATTCACATACTGATTTTTATAGCTTCAAATATTTAATCTCAAATTCCTAAAATTTAGCAATAAATGTAAGTGGAATATTTTGTTTTACGCATGTCTCCTGGATGCTTTTTGTATTACTCTTTGATACCATGTACATTAGCTTTATTTTACTTACATTTGACAAATTTTACTGTCTTTACTTTTACAAAATATCACTTTTAATATGTTTTATTAAATGATTTTCTTCCTTTCTGTGGCTTTCAACTAATAAAGAAGAAAGGAGTGATCTGACAACCACAATGGTAGGAATTTTAGCTTTCAGTTGGAAAGTATAAACTTATTCACTTTTAATTGCTCCATCTTAACATATTCTTTTGTCCTGTTTTTCTTTCTTTGTTCATTTATTTGTCATCATCAGATCGACTTGCCCTTCACTGAAGACTATGGTTCTGGTTTTCCTGATGATAGCTACCCTGATGGTTAGTTTGCTGGCAGTAAATTTTTTCAGTACACATGTCTAAGAGAAAAGCACGAGAAGTGGGAGAAAACACCCTGAAACTTACTTATAGTCCACTGGGTTTTAACAGGAAACCATGGCATCACAATAACTCAGCCTCAACAGCTAAACAAGCCACAAGAGACATGGTTCTGTTGAAATAACACCTTTTTTTTATATATATAACACCTAGTCATTCTTGTAACCATAACAATTTCTTGTGGTTTTCTTCTCTTTTTGCTGCAGGTACAACAAATGAGTTATGTGCCAACTCAGTTTTATGCAACGTACACTATAATGTTATTTGGATCTCAGCCGTTTTTGCCATCATGTGCGTCCTTTTGGCTGTCTACATCTTCAGGTTGAGCAGTTTGATTTTTCATTTAAATAAAAAATGTTTGCATTGCAGCAAATAGATTTATGTGTTAGCTGATAGATTTACCTGGCTTTTTCATTTGAACAACTGGTTTTCTTTTGCTTTTCAGACACAAAGACAGATTTATGTCCAAACTCTATAGTCCAAGTAGAACCACCCACAGTGAGGACTTGTCTCCACCTCGTCCTTCCATCCCTTCGTCCTCAGAGGAAGAAGCCCTGGTGTCAGACTCTGGACCGCAGCTCTATAAACAAAGCGACACACAAGTAGACGGGGAAAATGAGAAAGGACAAACTGAGATGGACAGATTAGAAGCCACAAATTTCAACAACAAAAGTTACTTCTTCCTGCAGATGTAGTTCTGAACGAACCAGTTTTAGAAAATCAGCGAAAAGGGACTGAGCTGAAGGATAAACACCCAGAGAAAATTTGTACAGATTGTAAACTCATTTCTTTATATTCGTGCCATGCTTAAACTTGTGCTAAAATGTTTCTTTTTTTTATGTGGTTATGTTTCTTTCTCTTTTGTCTATTGGTGCCATGTTAAAATTTTGAAATTACCTGCAGAGGTGACTTCATCATAATAAATATTTAGTTATTTTATGTTACTGAAAAGTTTAAGTTGATATTGATGTTGGATTTCTGTACTAAAGTACACTTTCTAGAGCTTTCTTCCACTGTCATGAACTAAAAAAATTTTCATTAGTCAACATTAAGCAATTTAAATTCATTTTACTTTTTGACTAGTCAAATGACTTTCAGTCAAATGACACTGAAAGTCAAATGACTTTCACTCTAAGTTATGAGCTATTATTTCATATTGAGTTATGGCATGTTTATGAGAAAATTACTGATTAATTTTTTTTACTTTTGCTACCTAATCAACCTATCTCATAGTGATTGATTGATTGTTAATAATAAACAGTGGTGGAACATGATTAAAAAAATAATATTAAAGGCTTTAATTAATTAAAGGCTTTGTAATTAACTAATGGTATTTTTATCCGACAATGATTAGTTTTTAAATTCACATAAATTTTAGTCGTTGACTAATCAATAACTAACTTGCATGATTTGTATTGTGATGGTGTACATTTATTTCTATCTTTACTTCAAAATGTCGCACTCTCAAGTAGAGCAGCCCCATTAGTGCTTTTCTAAATCATGAATAAATTTAAGCAGTAGTAGTTGTATACTAGAAAATTTATGAAGAAATTGCACTGCTAATGTTTGTGCTAATGTTAATGCACTGCCTTCCGATTTTTACGTTTGGAAAGTAGAAATCAAATGTTTACTTAATGGCACTCCATCCTGCTGGCTCCAGGTTAGGGATAGGGTTAGGGTTAGTTAATTAATTAGATAGTGTCTAATTATTTAATAACAGAGTCACATTTATGAGAACAAAATCTAATTATTATGATATAATAATAGAATCTAAAGATATTATTTATTTAGATGCATGTTTTGTTGTTCAAATAAATTATAGCATACGAGGATTATGAACTAGCTATTTTTAAATTATGTAATGCATATTTGTTATCACACTGCTTCCATAGTCTTAAATTAACATTAAATTAAATTTATATTTACTGTAACGTTAAACGTTTTAACCTGACTCAACTGCGCCCCCTCGTGGACAAGCAGTTAGACTCGTACGCTTCTATGGCAACGTCTTCATGGAAACAAACTGTGGTGACCGTTTGGTTTTCAGTTTTTCGGAGCAACAGAGGATATCGCCATTTAGATTTAGATTTACAAAGCCATGGGAGAAGTTGTGGAAGATGCTCAGAAGAATCTCAACGTTTCTATTTTAACTATCGAACAACAAGAGAAACTGCGACAGTTTAAGGTAACTCTCCGCGGAGGAAGAGAAAAACTAGGCAAAAAAAATATGTTGCTTACATTGTTTTTGGATTTATTCCGAATCTGCGGTTTGTTTTGCTTCAGATTCAAACAAGAATCAACAACGAAACGTATTTGAGAGCCCATCCAGAAGTGGATGAAATCATTGGTGACTTTCTAAGGTTGGTTTATTTTTCCCTATTTTACCAGAAAGTCATCATTAAAGTTTCAAACGCTCTCAATTTATCAGCGTTTACGGCTCAAAAAAAATCCCATAAATGATCCTGATACAGAGATAAACAGAGGTTTGGAAAACTCAAAGAAGTACAGAAATGTTTTATTTGTTTGCCTTAGGTAAACAAATATCAGCTGTGACCAATATTTAGGTCTATTGGGGTTTCGAAGAAATCTTCAAAAGTATATGTGGAATATAAAAATATTGTTTTTCAGTATATACCACATCTTGGTAAATATTGGGGAAAATAAATTAAAAATTGTGATAATTTATCAAAAGTTCAACGTTCTTGTAGGATATGGGATGTGACTAATTGTTTACAAGTTAGTCAACATACAGTTGAATCCAGACATTTACATACACTTAAAAATACATATTTATCTAACTGTGAAATCAATAAAAGTTTGTGTTTAATAATATGTGACTATTGCTTTATTTGCTACAAATGTTTTCAGTTGTTTATTTTATCTCAGTACTTTTGGACCTTTATTTGATCATCTTACAGAATGTAGTAATATGATCCTACAATATCTTAGCTTATATGATCACATTAAATGAAACATTAAATTGACCTTGTCTCGTTTCTCTTTCATTTAACAGACATTTGCTAGTTAAAAAGCCGTCTGACATTCGCGAGTTTGCTGCAGGTGAGTCATAAACATAGACACACTTTTGGGATTATTGCTCCAACCTCTCATAGTTACATTTTAATCCTAGTACTGACAGTCACCTTAATCTCAGTTAAATCCTGTATTAAAATAATTGACACCGAGAGAGAGTCAAGTGTTCCGTCATATTGGTTGTTAATGTTGCATTTTATTTCCTTAGATTACTTTGCTTAGTTGCTTTTGACACAAACTACAACTTTTGCAAGTAATATAAAATGTAGTTTATTCATGAAGACAACTGGTGTCACGTGGAACAGTTCAAGAGACAAAATGTTGGACAGATAGCAGAATAAGGACTAATATAATAAAGACAGCTACAAAGCAAGATCAAAATTGGTGGAGATTTATTTGTAATGCTGATCCTCTTTTTCAGATCACTTCTCCTCCCTAAGCGATCCTTCTGACTCGGTATCGAAAGAAAACAGTGAAACGGACTGAAAGATCTGACAACATCCTCCTCGTACCTTTCTTGAGTCAGAGATCGGATGTGGATGGATTCTAAATTTACATCCGTGTTGATCCGTTATGCTTGTATTCATATTACTCATTGTAATATTCCTAGAAATGCCTCAGATGATTAAACTAATGTGTGATTGTGAAAGAGGAGGCAGTCCTGCGAAGGTTACGCAATGCTCTTTGACATTTTGACCAATTTATTTTGACAGGATTGTTCACAGACTCACTGTTGTCTCATGTTCAACTAATTGACCTTATTTTAACATGACTTTGTAACAGTTGGTCTGCTGCCTTTACTTTGCATCTTAACTTAAAACACAAATAAACTCGTCAGTTTTCTGCTGTTCTGTGTCCGTGACTCATTCTCAACAGGTTTTGTGAATTATCTTTGAAAATTTTGTAACTGAAACAGCTTTATAGATTAAATTATGTCAACTGTACACAGCAAATTTGGAAGTGTTCCATCAACTCCTACAGAATTAAATTCAACACTTTGAAAGTGTCTATATTNCTAGCCACATGCATCACAGGCACATTCTAGTAAAGCATTGATTAATGCAATGAATAATGGCTGTGTGGCTGGACACCACAGCACCATCGAACCCCATCGAACCGTTGTGCCTAAGATTTCTGTCTCCAATGTGTGGTGGTCTGAGGTTTTGGAAATGAGCCGACAACTCGTGTAGTGTGAGCTGGACATTACACTAAGGAAATGAGGAAGGGAGGGTCAGTGGAGAGCACCGGAGATGAGCCTTTTTTCATTCAGTGTCATCAAGAGAAAGAAAAAAGGCAGGAAGAGACGATAAAGCCGATAATTAAAATGAAGCCGATAATTAAAATGAGGTCGATATGTTTGATTTATCGTGCGATTAATTGATTTATCATTTATCCATCTCTTTTAGAGAGTTTTCATTATTTTTTTATTTTTATTAAGCATTGAGAAAAGTGAAAAGTTGAAGTAAAATCCCATTTACAGGATTACTTTTTATTGTTTGACCCATTTTACACTCAAACTAATTCCAGGTTAGCTACCGACTGCAGCTCAAAGTAAAGCGGTTGTCATAGAAACGAGCTGAATACCAGGTCAGTCCCTTCCTCTGAAAACGAGTTCTCAGGACATTTTACAGCAGAAAATCATAATTTTGGTGTGCATGTCCATTCAGCTCCACACCGCATCCCAGTTATGCAAATAGAGCCTTGTTTAGACAGGAAAATGATCCATGCAAACTCTTTTCTTTGCTATGCATTCAGTCACTGCAACAAAACAAACGCAGCACGCCAACGGTTTCCCTCATGCATCTGAATTTGAAAACATGTCAACCAAGTGGTGCAAAAATGAAGAATCTACAGATCGCTTCCTCTTTGCATGGCAGCAATTTTATTTGTCTGAATAGCGTGGGCCATCTGTAAGACGAAAACAGGACCGGCGCTGACCAGCCGACTCTTTGCATAGCATGCAGGAAGGATCGGCCGTTCTCACTCCATCCTGAATGTCCATTGAGCAGGTACAGCCAGCAATAAAAAAGAGACATAAATTTAACTGAATGGGAGCAGAGAGCATGAGTCAAATAATACGTTTATGCAGACAGAAGACAAAAACAACAGACGGAACAGGTGGCCTGAAAACAGCAGTTTGAAAAGCTGACAAAAGGGCAGCAACTCATTCCAGCAAACAAGGAAAACGCCCAAAGGAGAGAAAAACGCTGAAAGCTACTGTAGCAACGTCTGTCACAGTCACCCCACCCACATCAGCATCCATCACTCAGGCCGCAAACATCAGAAAGAGGATATATGCTGAGGGTAATGTCTACCAGCACAAAGATTAACCTTTTGTTAAGCTTTATTTAACTGCCTCAATATTTATCCAGTTGGACAAAGAAGCCTTTTGTCTCCTGTTGTCCTCACTGAAACGTCCATCCATCATCTTTAACACATTCAGAAAGCCGCATGGTGAACCGCTGACCGCTAGCCGGCCGACAGTTTACCATTTATTCAGGCCGCCGGGCCAGACGGCGAGAAGCGGCTGCTGCTGTTAGAGAGACTCAGTGCACTCATTGAAAAACATCAGATTCAAGTAGAAATGTTATAAATACTGCCGTCAAAACTGGGACCACACTGGGAACCAAACTGGGACCACAATGGGAACCAAACTGGGACCACACTGGGAACCAAACTGGGACCACAATGGGACCACACTGGGAACCAAACTGGGACCACACTGGGAACCAAACTGGGACCACACTGGGAACCAAACTGGGACCACACTGGGACTGGCTGCAGCTGATTCTGCAGTCTGAGGAGCAGCCCTCAGACAATTCGTTTGCAGGAGTTTCCACTTTGCTTTTCTTCTAGCATTTGTCATCAATACAAGTTGATGGAAGTTAAATCTGGTTGTTCTTGTACTTCTGGTGTTTCAGTTTCTTTGGTTCTGAATTCCTAATTGTTCCTTCCAGGAAGCCGCACTAAACCGTCTGCCAACCAGTACGCCCAGTCGCACAACCAGTTCATCTGCTCCGTTTATTGTTCTCCTGACAAAACAGCTGATTGTTCCTCCTTTACTATGAATCAATGACAATACCAACTCCCATAGACATGTGGCCAATATCAATAGATGATATGTCTGAAATTAGACCAAGATATTAGCGTATATTAATCATATCCCATCATTCCAGTGACCTGTGCAGTTCTGTGGACACATTGTGGCTGCTGCTGATACCAGACTGACATAAAACGGATTAACGCATAAAGAGTTACAGTGATCTGTATTTGTCTGTGTTTAATTTCATTTCAATGAAAACTTGTTTCCCCTGTCTGATACGGTTTTATTCTTACAAACCCCTCTGTATTTAAAATACTTTTAAAGGTAGGATATTCTAGTAACTCCAGCTTCCTCCCACAGTCCAAAAACATGACTGTCAGGTTAACTGGTTTCTCTAAATTCTCCCTAGGTGTGTGTGTGTGTGTGTGTGTGTGTGTGTGTGTGTGTGTGTGTGTGTGTGTGTGTGTGTGTGTTCTGTCTGTCTCTGCGTTGCCCTGTGACAGACTGGCGACCTGTCCAGGTGACCCCGCCGCTCGCTCAGACGGACAGACAGATATTCTAGTAAAAGGATTATTTCATACATCTATAGCTTTTCATTTTAAATGGGTAGGATATTCAGATGAAGGAAGTGATCTTCTTGTGGTTTTGTTGTGTATATAAATTGTTCCGATGCTACGCTAACTCCTAAGCTTCCACTTCAGTCACTCAAATAATGTTATCCAATATATTTAACATTAGCAACCTGCTGTAGTTTTCGGTTTGTAAACATGACTGTAGCAATTTTAGACGGGTAGCACAGACAGATAGACTTAGCCATCTATCCGTGCTGCGGTAGGAAAATCTGACGAGGTAGCACAGATGGTCAGAACACCGGTTTGTTTCAACAGATATCTCATGAAAACGTTGAGGTAGTTTTCCTCAATCCTTGCCCAAAAATATCAGACATATTCGGTTTTTGAAGTAGTTGTAAGTTTTTAAGCATCCCAAACAACATTTAGGTTGATGGGAAAATTCCAGCAGACTTCAGCCAACATGCTGAGGTCGTGGTGGATCCTGTCAGGAGAAGCTGAGCCGTCCGGCCCGGTGCCATGCAGCGCAGATAGAGCAGCAGATGAAAGGCCAGAGCAGTAACAGAGGAGACAGAAGGAAGTAAAGACAGATTTATTGACAACAACGTGAAGATGTGAAGGATCTGGAAATCAAGGGAACATTCCAGCCGGAGCAGACATGATGAAGAGACAGAAAGAAAGCCTAATGGAGCAGCTGGGCGGGGAGGAGAAGGCAGCAGATAGAAGGGAGACCAACATTTGTGCAAATGATAAGCAAATGTAGAAAGGTGAGCAGAGAATGAGAGGAAGCGTCGAAGATTAAAGAAAAACAACTGAGAAGAAAAGGATGGAGCAGACGAGAGGACAGCGTTTCTGAGCCAGCTGTGTTTACATGACCTCTGACCTCAGAGCCACTCCAATCTCTTCAAGACGTCAGCTCGACTCGCAGGCCTTCAGTCTGACAAACATCTCACCTCAGCACACTGCAGACTGAATATCATGCAGCGTCTCTTTATAATGACGGAAATATTCTTCAATGGTTTTGCTCCAATTTTAAAAAGATGGAAGAAATAAATTCTCCAAACTTTAACCTGAAGTCAAAATCTAGATCATTTCATGAAAACAATGAGCTTTTGCACTCAGCAACAAGAAGTCCAGTTACACTAAGATGATTTTTTTTGTATATATTGAATAGAAGCAAAAATAATGATCATTATTGATTTGCATTTTGCTTTCAAGATGCCAGAGCTTCTTATGAAACGTCATAATGACCTTGACCTTTTGTTCTTCTGAGGTCATTTAAAGTTTTTCTTTAGAGTCTGGATTTCTGTTCATCTCTAATCCAACTTCTTCAACCTTTATTGTCACATTTATCTGATATGATTCATCTGAAACAGAAAAAATCTATGTAAAGAGTGTTTGGAAGGTTCTGGGTCTGGTTCCAGATTCTCCCAGTCCAGATGTTACAGAACATGAACTTGGAACAAAAAGCCACATTTCTGTTTGTTCATTCCAATGCCCTGCGCTGCAGTCCACTTCCTGCTTTTGGAGCGGTCTCCGGTCCGCTTGGCGTTCACATTCAAACAAACCCAGACTGAGGTTTGGAGGAACAGAGGTCAGAGGTCGATCAGAGGTCACACCAAACAAATCGAACTTTCTGGACAAACTAACTGGAGTCGGATTAGAGCGGACTAGAAAGGGCTGGTGTGGTTGCACCCTTTAAGTTTTAAAATATGAAATAATCCTTTATAGTTAACCTGAAAGATAAAAACCTGAGCAGTTTCTGCTCCATAAAAGGGACAGCTCCACTCTGTAACCCGGCCTGAACGTCTCAGGAACCATCCAAACCCAAAGACGAAGCAGCACAACATGTAGATCAGATCAAAGTGTGACAGATCCTCTCTACAGCCTGAAATTTGTCTTCAGTCTTTTCTTCTCGTTTTTCACCATTTGTCCTCTGTCCCAAACCCTCTAATGTGTTCCCCGCCCCGCGCCCCCATCATTCTCTGTCTCAAAGAAATATGTCCAGCAGGATTTATCTCCGTCCTCCAGCACTCAGCTCACCAGGCCGGGACACAGAAAGAGAAGCAGCTGGTTTTTACACAACATGGGGAAAGGATGGATGGATTTAGGGTGGGGTGGAGATGGGGAAAGAGATATAGGCAGAGGGAAAATATGGAGGGCCATGACAGAGAGAGAAGAAAGGCAAGGAGGGAAAAAAACACGAGACCTTCTGTGATGCTCAGCGAACGAAGAGTTATGT